TAGAAGCACCCGAAAGGTTTTGCTTTCTACTGTGGAGCTCCGTTAAGTACATATTTCATGTTACAAAACTTCATTCATTTTCGAAAAATAAACCTATCTGAGAATTAGAGTTAAAGGAAAATTTATATTCAGCGGATATTTTATATTTGAACTTGGCGGTTATTGTTAATACAGTTGAAACTGATAGTCTCAACAGTAATGTCTATCATTGCATACTAGGCTTTATTTACTAAAACTAAACTGTATATTTTGTTTTAGCGAATTAGCCGATCGTAGTTCACTACGTACACATTTGGCTCGACATGTAAGTTAATTGAAATTAAATTTTTAACTTATTTTTACTTCACTTGTTTTACTTCAGGGAGGTGATGACGGTGGGGCCGCTTCTTCTGATGCATTAGCTAGTCAACGTAAAAAAAAGACAAAAAAAAAGAAGAAAGGCTCCGATGGAAATCCAAATATGAATGTTGTTGTTGGAGGTGGTGTGGGTGTGGGAGGTTTGGCAACGGTCTCCTCACCGAGAGGCGTAGGTTATATGCAAAATGATCCGCACCATGGTGCGTCACTCTCATCATTGCCAATCGTGAAATCAGAACCAATGGATAGTGAACCAAAAGTGGTAAGAACAGTTTTGTCAAAAGATGGTTATAATCTACTAATTGTTGTTTTTTCAATTTGAAAACAGAGAAAGCGTGGTCGTCCACCAAAAATGAAATCAAGTGACAATACACCACTACAACAAAATTTTAAAGCACCCACATCATCAACATCAACACCGAATAATCCGATAATGTCTGACTCACAAGTAAAAGTAAGCCTTATATCTTATTTGCGAGGGATATTTTTTCTGATTCTGTTTCCACTTCGATAGTTTACATTATACACTGTAGTATGACCAGCATTTTTTTCCACATATAAACGCACTTGAATGCAGTGATGTAACTGAAGCATAACTCATTTCTCAGAACCACTAGACCATTATGTTATGAGTAGTTCAAATCTGTTTCTATGAGACTAGGATAGTTTAGTAAAAGGATTAGAGGTGAATAAAATTTTATTCTATATATACATGATTATTTCATTTGTTTTTTAGGCTGAACAAAAGTCTCTTGTACGTTCTCCAAGAGGCGTTGATATCTCAAATGAATTAGCTGAATTAGCTCGATCTAGGATGCGAGAAGTAAGTAAAGGAGATGAATACTATTGTTATTTACAATAGAATACAGCGATGATTACTGATTTTTTCTTCAATGCAAAAAAATCCAGCAAAATCGTTAACATTTTTATTTTAGCATATTGAGTTTGCAACCGATTCATTATTACCCGAACAAGAACAAGAAATTAATGTACGGTTACGTTCTGAAGGTTTGGTTTCTTGCCATCGTTGTCGTGGAAAAACACAATTTACAAGTTTGAAAAAATTGAAAGATCATTTGAAAACGGATTGTCCGTTGGGACCTGGTAAATCTTAAACTTTTCTTATTTGGAAAAGGATATCAATATATTTAGCATTTTCTTGTTTAGTTATGGCGATTTGTAAATTTTGTGGTATACCTTTCTCATCCGTTAGCAGTGTCTGTGATCATCTTGAACTTTATCATGATGATTCAAATGATGGAGCACATCCTCCAGGTAAGCAAGATTAAAAAGAATAAAAATGACTCCTACGAAAGTTGTAAAGTAAGAAAGCTTTGCAAATTCAGATACTAAGGAGAAAATTGTTGAAGTTCTAGCGATTCACAATTTATTCATCCACTTTAGAAGTTATTCGAAGAGAGATGGGAATAGTGTCATATTTAAGTTTTCTTTTTGCCACTATGCTTTTGTCATGAAAATATGTTTTATCTTATCCAAAGATGATCCGTGTCGTGTAAATGATCGTGCATTTCGGGCTGCATTTGCTCGTTACAAATTTCCACAAGTTGGTCGTATTCAATTTTCTGCACCATCAACAACAATTGGACAATTAATTCCAGAAAATGAATCAGCTGCTTGTTTAAGCAATGGTGCAAGCTGTCTTCGTGTGAGGGTATGTAAAAAGTTACACAGTATGTAAAAGACTTAGTATGATTTTAGAACTTCAAAATTTCTTTTCTAGATGCTTTCTTGTGATCGTTTTTTAAATCCATTGGATAGTTTTGCTGCATCTCATGTTATTGTACTAAATGTTGGAAGACCAATAAGATGTGTTGAATGGTTGCCTAGAGCTGTTGATGTCATCGGTAGTCAATATGTTGCATTAGCTCTTGAACAATGGTCATATGATACGGGCAGTCAGTTGCATGGGCATGGATTTACAGGAAACAATACTGCTGGTGGAACGTCCAATTCAGATCGTCGTTCACCACCTGGTTCTACACTATTACTGATTTTAAATTGTGGACGTTTAAGACAAAGTTTACATGTACCGAATTTGCATGTGACAGTAGCAGCCGATTTTGGTTTAGTAACATGTCTCAAATGGTTGCCTGATCGTCCAACAATCAATGATCCCTATTTAAGTTATTTAGCTATAGGCACAAGTCAAGGAATTGTATTAATCTTCGGTGTACCACATGGAGCATCAAGAAATTTATGTACAATCAACAGTGGAGCACAACTAGTACCACCGTTAAATCGTCGAAAAGATGGAAGTGTTGGATGTGCAGAATATGGTTCGTGTACAGCACTCGATTGGTGTCACGATAATCCAAATAAATTATGTGCTGGCTATGAAAATGGTATTGTACTTATGTGGGAAGTTAATGCAAAATCATTAGTTGAGCAGGTAGGTGATCAACTGGATAGTCTTTTCTTTTCATCTGTACGATTCTCGTTTGCTTCAGGCTAGTAATTGTGCACTCATTTATCCAGTAAGACGATTTTTTGTTGAAGACACACCAATACAAGATGTTAAATTTTTAAGAAATTCAGAACATTTAATTGCAATTAGTTTAAAAAACAAACATTCATGGACGTATGTATTTTTGTAATATCGATTAATATTGATAAATCTTATTTGAATTTTTGATTCTAGTGTTTGGACTACGCGTGATGAAAACATATTTTGTTATCGTCACTGGTCTAATTCTAGTGAATTTGCATCATCAGCTGTAAACGAAACACTATTTGCCGGTTGTGCACATCCAAAGTGAGAAAACACTTTTAGATTTCACAATGATAATAATTTGTCTTTTTTTGTTAAAGTAATCATAATGAAGTATTATCTGTACCGATCAATTCAATATTATTACCTGGACAAAATGTTTCTACTCATTGTCAAAATTCAATGCCGTCTGCTTGGCAAATTGTTAGTTTAGATTATTCAGAATGGATTGATGCTGTCGGTTATGCTGATTTAGATGGTATGTAATAATCTTACATGTAGTTATATAACTTTTACAATAATAATTGACCTAAGCATAAAAATAAGATGAATTTATCATCTGTGTTATAATGAGTTTTCTCATAGAAATTTATTAGACATGAGAAGAACGTTTTTCTCACCTTGAACAAAGAACGAATTTTGAAACCGTTGCACTGCAAAAAATCTCTTGTTTGAAAAACTTTTTTGTCAGACATATTTAAATAAATTTGTAATGTTTAGGTACTGTTTATGTGGCTCGTGGAGATTCGTCCACATGGAATCAAGGTGGTGCAAAATTTAGACCGAGTGTGGTATGAGTTTATAATAGACGTTCTGTTAAGCATTCACTCTGTCCTCTTTTGTATTCTATTTAGTGTGTTGCAAAATTATCGACATATTTGACGGGAACTGGTGGAGCAACGGCGGGAAATCTGGCTACGGATCCTGTTGGACTTCAACGTAAGTGTTGTAATTTTGATGACTCTGTGCATAAATCTTCTTTTTTTTGTTATTCAAGAGTATAATCAAGCCCAATCTGCTGCTTGTGGTGTTCCAACTGGTCAATATTGTGTACAAATAGCTATTGAACGAACGGTAAATATAAAAACTATATCGAACGTTTAGTTTATCGTTTTTCCGATAAAACAATATTGTTCATCTTTGAAAATACTTGAATAAGTAATAGTAAGAGATCCTAGTTCTTTATTTATTTTTATTAATAATAATGTAAAAGTTTCTTGCGCTTATTCTCATTTTTTTTTACACTGTAATATTAGAAAGATGTTGATACTGCTCTTCTACATACATAAACGCTTTCCAATTCACCTTCTCCTGTACGGTTTTCTAAAACACGCATTAAATTAGTACTTTATTTATCTGCGGTATTTAGTTTCTTTTATTGCATGTTTATTTATTTTTTAGGAATACGCTAGCAGTAATGTGGACACACAACACGATGAAACACACAAAGTACATACTTACAGAAAAGTAAGTTATTTATTTTTTCAAGTTAATATTGAATAATCAATTTTCTCGTTATACAGATTCGTTTTAATCCAAATCCTGGTACACATTCTTGGATAGCCTCCGCCGACAAAGTTGGTTTATTTCTTTTATTTCGATTATCAACATCTGATTCACCATTGTCAGACAAATTGACGCAACGACTTCAGAGGGTGCAAGTTCTTTAACGACGACGAAATAAACAGAAATAAAACAATTAAGAATGAATAAAAGGTATGATTCGGCGTCTAATTGTTAAAAGTTTGAAATGACTTCTAAAAATTATTCTTTATTTTAGTCATGTTTGATTTTTAAACATCGACTGGTATACATATATCTATTTTGTATAATGAAAGAACATACATTATCTCTTCTCAAAGACTACTTTGTTTTGTCATTTTTTTTAAAAAAATTTCATGCTTTTGATGTCGGACGCAGTGATTTTCGTAGTTCTTCTCTTTCTGTTTTTTTTTTCTTTTTTTTGTGTGTGCGTGTGTGTGTACAACGTTTTTTCAACATCCATCCATTCACTTTTGTACTAAAACATGAGATATGCTCCGCTATTTGAATATTTTGTAAAATAAAAACCCTATTTCTCTCTCCGTTGTACATATATTTTTGCTGTATTTTTTCGACGTCAAGTATTAGAATTATGTTATTGTTTCGGTCATTTTTATCTTTTTTCTGCTCGTGAAACATGACACATTTATCATCATTATTATTGTTCTTTAGTGTATAAATGTTTACTTAAGCTCCCGTACACATATATACCCTACAACAAGTCGTTCGTCATTTTTGTTCTCGATCCGACTTTTCTCATTATTACTAATTAAGTATAATATGTATCATATATATATATACCATGTGTGATTTCTATATACAAACAACAACAACAATATTTATATGAAAGATATTATTCTTTCTTTCTTTTTTTTTCTTTTTTTTATATACGGGAACAGTTTTTAGTTTTTTCTCTTCTTCTACTTCGTTCATTATTCAAAAGTCGAAACAAATGAAATCTTCTCTTGTCTTTTTCTCTGCTGAATCATGCAGTTGGACGTTTCTCTCTTGTTGTTTATTCTTTGGTCATTGTAATTCCTTCTTTTTTTTTGTTTTGTGTTTGATTTTTCAACCTAGAATGTATGTTTGTGTTTTTTTTCAACAAAAAAGTACAATAAAACGAAGTCATTCATTTATTTATTCATCATTCTTTATTATCAAAAACAGATAACAGGCAGTAATAAAGAGAACAATACGCTGTAAATGTTACACCTTTAGAAAAGAGTGAAAGATGCCATATGACACTACGTATGAGTTTATTGAAGGCACATCAGTAGAGACAGATTAGAGAAAGATTGAACAAAAGTAACTACAGAAAAAGAGTTACATTTACATTTAACTATTCTGCCTATTAATATGATCTTGAAGGTTAACATTGAATTGAGCAGCAGATGTACTATCAACCACAGAAAGAGGTGGTTTATTTCATTCTTTAACAATTGTTACAAGTAACGACGCAGTAAAAGACGATTTATGAGCAAAGATGATATTGTGTTGCGAAGCTGAGTATTTCGCAAAAAGTCTGTTTTCTGACTCATAAAACGTTTTGGGAGTCGGTGAACATGTACTAACAACAGAGCTTCAGTCTTGGATTTTACTTGCATCATTATGTTATACAGTTCCTTAACTGAAAGTTTTTTCAGCCAAGAATTGAAAATGAGAATATATAGGTAATGGTACTTCAATTCGTAGCATGTGATTGAGAGAGGTAAGAATTAAGAATGTTAACAAGACGATATCTTTTGATGCTCCTTTTCTTTTTATTATTTTTATTTTAACGAAAGATCAGCATCATACAAAAAAGCGTAATCAACACTTAATTTCGTAATATGATGTATGCCTAGAAGATCACTCACACACATATATACGCACGCACGTAAAAGATAAAAAAGTAAAAAACAGAAGAGCTTTTGTTATTTTTCCTATTGTCCTTAAGAAGGTATAGCATTTGCATATGTATATCGAAAAATTTCTTGCATTTCCGGGTTCTCAGAAAACAAACAGATAATGGAAGCTTGAGATAAATTTCAAAGTTAGACTTAAGAGAGGAATAATTAAGAATGTTTTGTAATAATCTCTTGTTTTAGAAGCGAAAAGGACAGATTTAATTCAAGTTGAGAAATATTTTTAGATCGATTTTAAACAACTTAATAGTTGAAGTTATTTCAAGAACAATCATCAATAAACTTGTTAAAATCTACATCATTTTGTCGAAACTATGAAGAATGAATCGTTTTAAAATTTGAACAAAAAAAAAATGATCACAGAGTTAGGATGGAACTCCTAGAAACATGAATTTCTAGCTATTGTATTAACACTCTAGGATCTAAAATTAAGTGATAATTAAAAAGTCGATTGAAATTCTATTGTGCTAATGCGGCCATTTATTGACAATCAGATGTAGACACGGTGATTTAATCTTAAGAAAAGGGGGACTTGTATGTCAAATTTTACATAATGAAGTCGAGAGGGCTCGTCTGATGTATCTGTCATTTAGATAAAGGGGTCAAACTGAAAGGATACTGAACTTTATTAGCTTTTTCTGGTAGTAAAATAAAATTTCATAATTCGAAAATATTTACCCACTCATATTCAACAAGTATCTTACATGCTGTTAACCTTACATCATTGTACATTTTAAATTGTGCATATCCTTTAAATAGTTTCATAGCTGGCAGGTAACGAAGATTTAATCAGTCCTTTTGTTAATGCTTTGAAAACAAACGAGATGTTCTACAATAACCTTAAAATATGATTTTATTAATGATCCTTTTTGTATGGGGGTTAATTATTGAGCTTCGTTGTATTCGATTGGTAATTATTGCTTATTAATAATCGCTCTACATTTGATGTTAGAATATTCCCTGACGCATCAGTTAATGATCAACAATAACGATCTTTTCGATTTTTTATTATATGAAAATACATTAAATAGAAACTAATTATTGTTGTTAATATATTTTTTGCTGACGATGATATTATTGTTACTCCTGTAGATGTTCATTCATCGTAGAAGATCGTATGACCAAACCGATTATTAATGTTTATTAGGTCAGCGTCTGACAGAAGCAGAGAATTACTACTATTTGTCAGTAATTTTTTTCTCGTTCATATCATATTACTTCAGACATATGCTGAATAAATTTATGAGAAATATAGGAAATAAACCGCAAATACGAACGTTATTTATTTTCATTGTCAGTTATGAAATCTCATGGTGAAGATTGCATCAGTATTCATCAAAAGTTCGTCGCGTATAAAGACTTAGTGTTTCAAATAATTATCAATTACGTCTGTCATAGTTACGAGTTTATTTCCTATATTTCTCATAAATTTATTCAGCATATGTTTGATGTAATATGATATGAACGAGAAAAAATTACTGACAAATAGTAATTCTCTACTTTTGTCAGAGTACGCTGACCTAATAAATATTAATAATCGATTTGGTCATATACTTCCAGTGATTGAACTCAAAATATATTTGACACAGTTTCTTTCATGTTCACTATTAATATTGTTTCCTCGTCTTGTAGTTGAAACTCATCTTATGGTTCCAATGCTCGATAATTTTATTGACCGTGAAATTGAAATTATGATGCAAGTAAATGATCTCTGTAGGTCATAATTCATCTGAACTGAGTGAAACAAATCAGAAACAACATGGTAGTATTTAATACAATATCGTGAGGAGCATAGAACAAACACTTGACTGCAGTGATGCTTCTACCTAGTTCTTTTTTTTTGGAGAATGAAAGAACGGGTTTTCACAGAATAGAGAAAAGATAGTAACAAGTAGTTTCTGGAATGATTTCATTCTACAAGACTTAAATGGATAATATACATCGGTGACGTTGAAAACACTACTAACTTCTCGACTTGTCTATGCTTCTGCATTTTCTTGTGCTTTTCTATAGGTTTACAACAAACTAATGTGTTGGACAGTAACAGCTTGTTTAACAGATATCTCGTTTATTTCTCACGTCCAGAGCATGGACAAGTACAAGTAAAAGTACTTGTACTTTCAAAAACAATACTTGTACTTTAAGTAAGTTGCCAGTACTTCAAGCACTTTTTTATCTTTTAGTTCTCATTTACTACTATTTTATTTTTATTCTTCTATAATATGATGGTCTGAGTTAGCAGTAAGTGGTGAACAATCCTGGAGAACTGTCTGGATTATTTCTTAAGCTTTTACTATGATTCTCAATATCAGGTAGAAATACATAGAAATATATACCAAGTAGAAAGCTTCTCTCCATGCTTTATTTTCATCCACAGCGCATTCAGACGCAGGTATCAGGTCATTGACACATTATCGTTGAACTAGGTATAGAAACTGCGAAATTAGTCCTGAGAAGAAACAACGTACCCGAAGTACTTGAAATATACTTAAAGTATAAGTACTGTTCTGAAGTACAAGTAATAGTATTTTGCACTTGAAAAGGCAAAAAGGTACAAGCGCAACTATCCATGCCCTGTTCCTGTCGTTATACCTCAGCTAACTTCAAAAGAGCTATTAATAAGTGCTCGTCCAAGAGGTCAGCAAAAATAGGCAGTAGATGAACAAATGACACTATTTCTCTGTGATTGTAAAGTGTCAATATCCAGATAAAAGCATCACCCTGAAGTCGAAGATTTTCTCAGATCGATAGTACTTCGAGAAGGCTACGATCTGGCTCGTCAAAATCGCACTAAGTTGATGTATTAATGATACGTTCTATATAGATTTACTTAAAAGCCATAGTTTTCTATATGTGAGAATAAATTTTTTTCATTTCTGATGGTACAAAAATCATATTTGTGAAAGAACATCAACACAAAATAGAGAGCGAAAAACAATAAACAGATAAATATAGAAGCATTTTGTGAAAAATATGTTATGTAAGAAGCTTATACATAACTAAACAAAAAAAACAACAACCAGCAGCAAATAATTTTTGTGCAGTTTCAACGAGAGAAAAAATCGAAATATTTTTCTCTAAAAAACAAAAGAAAGACCAATAAAACATCGTACATACATACACGGAGCCACTGAATTAAAAAAATGAACGTTTGAAAAACACAACTCGTACAAAAACGTGTATAGAAAAACGTATTAAAATATGAAACAAACGAAGAGAAACAACTATGGCACAGGGCATTACTCAAATGAAAAATACAACAACACTGTAAATGGAAGATTGGTTTGAAAAAAAAAAATATAATGACAAAATTAAGTATGCATAGTCTATAGATGTGTACAGCCCTCTACCTATGTGACAAAAATAAGCGATTTACACTTAGAAGCGAAAATATTTGTCGATTTATTTAGTCGTGCTGAGATCTTACATGGAAGGACATGTTTATGAAATCGCATGATGGTATTTTAAAGAGTATCTCGTCGAATGAAGAGAAATCTGACTTTATAACCGATCAAAGCGTATATGAGCAGCACATTCGAACGAGAAATATATAGAATTTACCTAAATTTGAATAGGGTTCTAATTGTTCGTAAATGTTAGTCATTGTAGAAATCTGACAAAGTTATAGCATTCCTCAAGTTGAAACCACAAATACGTCGTACATATGGTTCTTTTACTCAATATAAATTAACTTAACTATCCAATTCTTAACCGTTTTCGTCTCGTCGAATTTGTCAAGATTATTCCTGAATTCTTATTGGCATTAGACTATTATTCGTGTTATCTTCAAATTTTTTACATGAATCTCTCGGCGTATTAGATGATAATTGTAAACCATCACGTTTAGGTAGAGTAAGTGAGCATAATATCGAAGCTGTTGTAGGGTTAGTTCGACGATTAGTGTTGGTTGTAGTATTAGAGCTTAGAGTTGGAATACTAGTATTAGTTTCAATACCTAATTCACCTAATTTTTTAACAGGAGAATCACTACTGTTATTCGTGTTAGTATTATAATTATTCTTTTTATCATTCATTTCGTCTGTATACTTGGATGATGATGGTATTTCAAACATGTTATTACCGTTTGTACTCTTAATTTTATTATTTCGATCGTCGGTCCATGTTGTTGTTCGTACAGTGGGCGTAACAAATTTTACTCCGGAGACGATGGTTGAACCTGTCAAAGATGGTATAGTTTTATTCGATGATTCGAGACTATTGACGATAACCGTGGTCGGTCTTATGGGCGAAGGAGACGGTTTTGTTGAATCAAAATCGTATGACACTAAGTAACGTGTTAACGTATTATGATCATCTGATAACCCTCGTTGTTCTTTTATAGTTGGCGAGACTGATTGTGCATTCGCTAACGTGTATCGTGTCGGTGGTGTATTCACCGTAGATGCTCTTAGCTTTGAATTAGGCGAATAAATTTGATTTCTTAAACTTTTACTTGAATCATCGACTATGGAATTACTGTTTGCCAGATCAACATTTGAACGCGGAGATAACGAGGGTGAAGTCGTTTTTGTACCTTTTCGTATAAATGCTTGCGGTTCTTCATTTGTGTTGTTTTGCCGATGTTTTTTATTATCAGTATCAAACACTATCGAAGAATCTGCTAGTGGTGTCGACTTTAGATTATCTGTGAAAGCGAATAAAGACGATGGAACAGGATCAAATACGGAATGACGCGTATTATTATTCTTAATATTATTCTTAACTGATGATCGTTTTGCAGCAGCAAAATGAAAATCATTTGGATCATGTTTATCATCAAAAGATAAACTCAATGGACGCTGTTGTTTTTGCTCTGATTTTGGATTATACAATTTAGCTGATTTATCAGACACATAATGTGTAGCAACAGGTATACCCGACAGACGATTATTTGTATTTTTCCATTCTTTCTTATTGCGTAATGGTGTAGTTGATTGTGATGCTACAGTCGCTGGACGTGTTAAATCTGATGTCGAAAAGAATGAACTGGTATTCAGTTCCAACTCAACTAGCGAATTAGAATCGGCTGGACTAACTGGTGTAAGAGGTGAACTATCATTGGCTGTTAATATCGGTATATCAGCCAGATGTTTTGGTGAATGACGATTATTCACAGAAGATGGTGGCGTTCGAAGCTGGTAACGATGATCATCGTTGATGACATTCTGATCAGTTACTGGTCGTAAATAGTTTTTTGTCGGCGATGATGGTGGTATTGACGTTTGATCAGGTGAACTATGTGAAATTACTGTTGGCGGTGCTGCTATTGAATTACGATAACGAATTTTATCCGAAGAAGTAATTGACGAATGTGAACGTAATGATAATACGGGACCCGTGCAAAACCAATTGTGTCTCATGATGTCTTTTGTTGTTGCTCTTAAACTTGCATCGGGCATAAGACAAAGTTGGATTAATGGTAATGCACCTGTAAAAAGTTAGAAAAGAAAGTACAAGAGCATTTGTGCAATTTGGTTATTAGCTAAGCTCCATCACCGCGCGCAAGTATATGTGCAAAAGGTAATAAAGCATTTCCTGTCCTATCTTAACCAGTGAAAACTATTTCTTAACATCCAATCGACTGAATCCGTAACAAAATGTCTCCTAGGCAAATATCAGACAACTTACTTAGAGAGAAAGAGAGAGAAACGGAATAATATAGATTCATTCTAGTACAGAAATATGTTTCTTCAATTGAAAAAATAGCTGAAGAAATTTATGTACAAAAAATTATTAGTGTTGTGAATTACGATCCCTTATCCCAGTTCTCTCACTAACAGTTCGTCGTGTAAAGTAGTTTGGTTTTGCATTAGTATTACTACTACTATAGTTTGAGATAGGTAAGGTACTGTTCGTTGTCGTTGTAGTACTATGGTAATGGTTTCGTATAGAATTTGAATAGTTCGAATTGTTTTGTGGTAAATGATTGTTGATAATGGAATTAGCTTTTGATGATGGTCCAGTGGAAGAGATATTACCATTGATGTGAATAGATGGATCCACTGATATTTGATGGGACGGTTGTTCTGACTGTATTGGTACTGAATTAGATGCTGCAGCAGGTTCGAAATGGAGGGTTTGCACACCATTTTTACGTGGTGTATAGTTGTGAAAATAGACGGGCGGGCATTTATAGCCAAGATTAATCCACCAATTTTCAGCTATATCATCGACAGTAGAACGTTTTGACGGTATTACTGTCAAACATTTACGTATTAAACCGAGAGCTCCTATAAAAAGTCTACTGCTTATACTAATTCCAAACAAGATAGAAAAATTTACTGGAAAAAATAAATAGTTTTCAAGATTGTTATGATTTTTTACCTGATTGTTCTCGAGGTTGGATAAATTCACCTGATGTAATATTACGAACAAGACGATTATAATCACCGCCTTGAAATGGCATTGATCCATAAACAAGAGTATAAAGTAAAACTCCTAATGACCAACAGTCAACCTATAGCGAAAACAAATAAGTTTTGTTATCTAATACATATTAATTACTTACTTCTGGACCGTAATAAGGTATGCCACTGACGATTTCGGGCGATGCGTATAATGGCGATCCACAAAATGTATGCAGAAGTCGTCGAGGAGACCAACTATTGCTAAGACCAAAATCGGCCAACTAAAACAACATGAAATTTTCCAGTTTTTGCATGTCAATCAATATGTCAGTAATACACAAATACCTTTATGTCCCCATTATGATCGATTAATATATTCTCTAATTTAAGATCTCGATGCACAATTTGGTTCTGAAATTGAAATTTTCAGAAAATAAAGTCTTTTTGTAGATCATAACATACTACTTTGTGAAGAAAATGAACGGCTGATACAATTTGTCGAAATATTGCTCGTGCTTCTGCTTCGGGTATTCGCTTCATTCGATTTAAATAATCATACAATTCACCACCACTAGCATACTCGATAACAAGAATAATTTTTTCTCGACTTTCATACACTGAAGAGAACAATGAAAAATAATGATTGAGTTGAACAATGAGGAATATGAGTACCTTCTTTGATTTTAATTATATGTGGATGATTAAGTCCGGTCATAAAATCAATTTCCCGACGAATTCTGGCTAAATCATGTGGATTTTCTATACGTGACTTTTTAATTGTTTTGATTGCCACCTAGAACAGGTTTGATTTTCATTATGGGTGACCAAACATAAATCTCATGCTTTTAACTAAACGGATATTAGCTTCTGTCTATTTTGCCAACAGGAATAAACAAATCGTTGATGGGATATCAATGACATTCGAAAGTACTGCTATACTCACGACTTTGTTTAGTAACAATATTTAACTATTTAGTCTGCTTACCTGTTCATTTTTTCTTTTATCAAGTGCTAATTTCACTTTTCCATATGTCCCCTTTCCTAATGTTTGTTTAAATTCAAATCTACTATGTAATGTTTCTCGTTGACTACTATTAATACCATTTTGTTTTAGATCTTGTGACGATGGTGGAGTGGTAGTTGATTGATGTACAGACTCTCCAAAACTATTTAAACTGCCTAAACTAGACCAGTTTGAATGACGTGCTTGTCGTTGTTTACCAATTCCCCCACCCGTTCCATTTGAAATTCTAAACAAAGAACAAAAAGTGTGTACAAAATTTTATATCAGGAGGCGTTACAAAATACATTACAATCGATTCATTCATGCAGCTCTATATCTTTTGCAAGACAGTTTACTCTTAAAAATATCTGAAATGTCTTCACAAAAAAAAGAAACTATTTTGGCATTGTTCTTTGTTTCGTGTCTTTTCAAGTTGAATTAAGGATCATTTCATCTAGAAAGTATATGTATGTATAAAAATTCCTTTTTTTCCTTTTTCTGTTTATTTACTATTGTAGAATAAAAATCATCGATTATGCACTACACAAAAGTCCTTGGTGCTAGGATTAATGATGATCTATGACATTTTCAAGTTTTCTTTGATAGAACTTTATTTCCTACATTGCTGAGAACTAAAAGTGTCGTATCCATAATTTCCATTTTCAACTATTCCGTCTATAAACTGTACATCTAAGTTAATGCTTCTTAAAAAATTACAATTATTTTATTTTTAACAAAGCACACTTGAAAAATCATGTCTTTTCAAAAAAAATTGTTTACTACTTGGAAATAATCATTTAACTTCAAAATCTTAGAGAATACTCTGATATATCTACAGGTTATTCACATAAAGTTTGATAGTTATGCCTTAAACGGATCAGAGTTTACATTGCAAACGAAAATAATGGAATGAACTTCATGGCTCAGACTCAAACTTAGGATCAAGCCTGAATCACCTTAAAATCTCAAAATAATATCTAGATGGTATGCACTTCATTGCTATGCAAAAAACTTCTGAAGATCAGCTGTAGTTTAATTTTCTGCGATGTAGAAAATAAAAATATCTTTACCAGATTAGCCGATAAGATTAGCACTAAGTAGTTAAAATTTTGCAGAAGATCAGCATTCTATGTAACATAAACTATCTTTCTAAAAAATTTCAAATCGTAAAACATAATAGTTCTTAAGTTACAGAAGAATGATGGCTTTTTTATGGCTCATGTGAATATTTGCGTTTGAATGAGTCGAGATCTTAGCCTATCGAAACGTGTCTGGTTACAAATGCATCGATATTTTTCATTCTGAACGCGTTCACACGCGTCTGCCAGCAACGCTAAACGCGTTTACAAACATGTAAACGCTTTGTATGGGTAGTATTGTATACATGTATAACACAATTATTGCTATATTTCGCGCACACATGACGAATTAGAAATTAAGCGCACATCTATGATCCTTATAATGCGCCTGTTATCAAGTCCTTCCATTCTTTGAATAAATATTTGTCGAATTTATTCTTTTTTCTTTTATTGAGGCTTAAACTAATCGTCGGTCAAAAGGGAAGGTTAAAACATATACATCGATGATAATGTCTTAATGTTACAGGAGAGGCGTCACATTTTCAACTTTTCTAGAAACATGAATAACGAACTTATTCTGCTCACTAAGATGAAACCTTAGAGATTCTAAAAGATCGATTACGAGAGAAATACACGCATATAAAGTAAGATCAATATATTAATCAAATTTCTAAAAAATTTTCCATACAATCAATTCTTAGATAAAACGCTGTTGTAATGTTAGTATTATGTAGGTAAAATACTGGCATTATTTATTAGTTACCTTCCAATATTATCAATCATGGAATCTACATCAAAATTTTGTAATGAATTCATATAACATATTGAAATAAGAATAACTTGATAAATAAATTTTTAAAGAAAAACTTATATGTTACAAAGGTATTTTTTTCTCTAGTCTTCCTTTTTCCTTGTTTCTGAAACCAAACTTTTTTATGCAATGAGTAAAAGGAAAGAAAAGAAACTTGCTGTATATATATATATATATATATGTATATATACACTACACAGTTTGCTAAATGAACTACTGCGGACAATATTACACCATATGATTTTTTTTATTTTGACTACTATTTTATTTCACAAAAAAAGAAGTTTTTTCTTTCTCGTGAGAGTGTGTATGTGTGTGTGTGAGAGAGAGAGAGAAAGGGAGATGTTATTTCAATACGAGAAAAAAGTATGATAGCTGTACATATAGATTGCTGCATTCATTTTAACTACACATTTTTCGTATTCAAAAGGAGAAAAAAAGATACTTGCTCATACATAATGTGATGAAACAGAACAAAGAACGCAAAGAGTTTTCTTACTATATGTTCCTTCTTAAATCAAATGTACAAATATCGTATATATATTCTTTGTCGCGAGAGCGATACGGATTTTCATTTCTTGATTAACATCCTAGACACCACTCTAAAGTTCAAATTACAAGTAGACAGTAGCCCACACATGTAGAACTTTTAAATCATACATAAAAAAACAATCGTCTATTGACAGTAAATGAATGATAATATGTCCACGTATCAATCCATCATCAATACATATCTAGCTATTTTCATTTACAGAAGCCTGCCTGTCATCTTTAAAGAATTTGAATAATGCGTTTGTTCTGCCCATCATAAGTTCTGACTTCCCGATATAGAAACTCTACTTTTTCTTCTTGCCCATAGAATTGAAAAGAGTCTAACTGTCATTGAGATTTTTGATGGACTTTCCCTAGCGCATTCACCTGATATTAGACAGGTTAAATGTACTACAATCAATCATATTGTTTTCTCAATATAAAGGCTCACAAATAACATTACCTTGACTCTACAGAAGATTCTTTTTGGTTATCCAGGTTAAACTTGTCTTCTAGGGATTTTTTCGACGATTAATAATATACTTTGTCGCCTAATAAAACATATCAAACCCCGAAACTTGTCGTGAAAAATAAACTGGACAAAATTTAGTAGCACAATTGAACTTTGACTTTGTTTTATGATCTAACGGAGCTAATATCGATATTTGTATGTGTGTATTTGTTGGATTGAATAAAAATTGGCCTAGCTTGTCATGCATGAATAGAGATGTTTTTGCACTTTTTATTAAATTAGTTTATTCTACTAGCTGTTCTTTTCTCTCTCTCTCTCTCTCTCTCTCTCTCTCTTTCTCTCTCTCTATCTGAACTTTAACGCAAATACTTATTTCTACATATCGAACGAGAAGTTCGTACTGATTCGTCTAGTCAACTAATCGTTCGTTTAGGACAGAAGGTGAGATGAACAAAGAACAAAAAATGATTTCTGTAAGAAAATAACCCATTATAATTCTAAGGTTTTGGAAATATATCGAAATGCTTTATCTCCCACTGCTCAACATTTCGGCTTTCAAAATTGGTTCTGGTCCACTGGAGTCTAAATTTTTTGATCAGTTTTGGTTATTATTTTCACAAAGGTCAACGATTCATTCTTATATTTTTTCTACATTTTCAAAGTTCTTTACAAAACCTCGCTTAAAAGAAAGTAGAGAATTTTCTGGACTTCAAAATACGTTAGCGAGTTATTCAACTGCCGAACCTCCTAAACATATTCTTTTCCAATTACCAGTATTATCTGTTATGTCAGATTTTTCTAACTCGTCATAGTCGATAACCTACCTATATTGATACACAGTTATTCCTCTTGGATGCTTACGTATCTTAGAAATCACCCATGATAAGACTTTAAATGGGTCCTACTTCTATGCATATGCTCAGAACAGCACCAATCATGCAAACTACATATTAGAACATGTATTACACTAGATTTAATCAGAATTAAGCTCCGTTCAAAACACACAATTGAAAAATCTTACCGATTTTACACAAATTTTTTACAAATATGAAAGTTAAAGCTATTTTTCTTTTAAAACATATTCTATCAAGTGCATCTGAGAAATAGTATTGGTAAATAAGAGTATCTCTTGTGGACCTATATTATAGAAAAGATTTACAATCGAGCGAAAATCTGATGATTTTGACTAGAAACTCGACTGAATGTTGTGAACAAGATGAATTACGACTATATATTCTTTTAATCTCAAATAAAAAAGACAAATCCACAATTTCAAAATATATTCTACATAAGATATATAAATGTTTTGCACATTGATTAAACCAAGAAGTACGGTAAAATCAAAGAAAACCTTTTTAAACTCACAGAACAAATTTTTCAAATCCGCACGAAAATAGCCTAAACTGGATTATTTCGGTTTCTAAACCTTTTTAATGAAAGAAAACATTGCTAAGAGATTCACTATAGTCGAAAACCTATCTTTTCATGTCTTCTTCAAAAGAAGTGCTTAATAGTTGTTGGATAAAAAAAATATATAAATAAAAGTCGTTGGATTCTAATCTTTTAGGATATCAGCTGCCGTGCCGCTCGTGGCTATCAACCATAAAGGACTCTCTTGACTTCCCTTTTAACTAGGGCACTTGGGACTATTCACGTCTAAAGAAATTTCTGTTTCAAATTTTTCCATGGTTAACAGGTTTTTCTAAACATTCGGAAAACCTTACTTTACGAAAAGATTTTTAAACTACATTATTTTTTATAGAATCTTCTCTCTAGTATTGGCTTTCGAATGTTAAAAACCAGTAGTTCCTATTAAAAGTTCTTGAAAAAATACTTTTTACGTAAATTCTTGTGTTTCCCAGCAATAGGTAATCGTACATCACCTACTTCTCTAATACATCTTCATTTGACCTGGATCGTCGATTTCGTTTAGAACGATGTCTACTTGAACGAAATTTTGCTTGAAATGGTATTTTTGATGATATCATAAAGGATGATTTAATTATCGATTTTTAAGCAGGAATTAGTCTAGTTAAAAGTGTTTCATGCCGCAAGAGAGTGATGCAAAAGCCACAAAAAAGTTTAATCAAACTTTTTTCTCTTTTTTTTTTTGTGGTATGTTAAAGTATCAGAGAATAGTCAAAAAACGAACAATAAAAGAGAATGAAAGTTTTTCGCGTTACACAAAGCAAAATGACAAATGATTAATGCCGCTAGTAGTGTACAAAAAACTTTCTTTATATATATATATATATATATATACATTTTACTGTCACCTGAGTAAGTGCACCAAAACGTGAGCAAGATGTGTGCAAGAATAAAACTAACTCTTCAATACAAAACACGTGTTTTTCAATATAAAACTTCATCCATCATTGCCTGCTTCCGCGATCTAGACTTGGATAAAGAGAGAAAGTGAGGCGGTGCACACA